ACGGGTATTTCATATCACGGCTCTTAGAGCACTAGATAGCTACAAAGTTCAGATTGTGCCACACCATCCTTGTGTGCCTCTACCTCACAGCACATCCACTCCAGAGACAGCCAGGTGTTTCCAAGAGGTTTGGTTGGTGTAGGGGTGAGCCCCACAAAGCTATCCGCCCTAAGGGCGGGGATAAGGAAATTTAGGACAGGTGAAGATGAAAGAACGTGCAAGAAAAACAAATCCCTCTTTCTTCTCCTCTCTTGCTCTGGAAGCCTGCCACGCTTCTAACTCCCCAGCCTTTTGTGTGTAAGTTCTTATTCTGGTAAATAAATATATTATATTCCATATTACATTGACCTCGATCTACAGATTTGGTCTTTTATGTGAGGTTCAGTGCTGTATTTCAACTGGCATTTGAGCATTCTTGAGACAGAAGCAACAACTTAACATAAGAAACCAGACACATATTTTCAAGACACCGAATTCTTAGATCTGAGACCAGCAAGTTTAACCTGTGTCTTAGAGAACAATAGAAAAGTAACTAACACTTCACCCCTTCTGGCTCTTATATTCTTTCTGCCCCTTCTTTTACATTATCCCCTGAGCCTTGGAAGGAGTAAGGTAGATGACCCATGGATGGCTTTGCTTTGTTTGTTTGTTTTGGTTTTTCTCTGTGACTTTGGAGACTGTGCTGGAACTGGCTCTTGTAGTCCAGGCTGGTCTCAAACTCACAGAGATCCACCTGCCTCTGCTTCCCGAGTGCTGGGATTAAAGGCGTGTGCCACCACCACCCGGCTTGGCTTTGCATTTTATAGTCATTTGTTTTCATCACTTGGACTGGTTATGAGTCTTTGCAGTTAGTGCTGCCCACTACTGCTGTTCAGTGGAAGAAAGACAAGAAGCTCCTGTGATGTCAGCTTCCAGCATCACTGTAAATATAAACAGATACATCGTATCCACTTGATTCCTAGATTATTTGTGAATATGTTTATATGCATACGTGTATGCATGCATATTCATATGTGCGAGGTTGTACATGGGTGAACGTGTGCGTGTGGAGGCTCAGGGTTAAATGGAATGTCTTCCTTGATCACTCTGCTTTTTTTTATTGAGGCAGGGTGTCTCACTGAACCCTGAGCTCACAGATTCCAGCTAGTCTGGCCAGCCTTCTCTAGGAAAGGGTCCTGTTTCTCTGCCTCCCAAGTGCTGGAATTACAGCAGCTGCCACACTCTTTACATGGGTTTTACATGGGTTCTGGAGACCTAAACCCTGGTCCTCTTGCTTACACAGCAAGTGTTTTGCCCCGAACCATCTCCTTGACTCTGATTTCTTGTTTTCTTTTAGAAAGGCAGCAAACTCTTGAAATCACGACCTCAAGGTGGTTTTGATGCCTGATTGGCCAGATCTCTGCATCCTGATACTATGCCGAACACATGGGGATGTAAGGTCTTTCACCCCAGGACTTCAGTGAGGGATGACTGAGGTGTTACTAATTGTTCTAGTTCGATTTAGTCTTCTGAGATGGAGGGGAAAAGGTTTTGCTGAAGAAAAGCAGATTTCCCCTGATGCCTGCATTGCATGGGGACACTGGAGAGGTCAGTGATGGATGGTTCTCTGTCAACAAGTGTGTCCCACATGTGCTGAGCAGCCAGTGCATCTGTGTCCAGATCCAGTGACAGTCGGTGTGCAGGCTGGGGGAAGGGTGTCAAGCAGGTGCCTATCCTGTCCTGTCCCTCTCCTGGATCTCTCCAGAGCCAGGGTGGTCATAGAGGGGCTTTCCAGGCAGGGAGCAGTAGGAGGGCCAAGTCACCTTCCATATACCCCTGTCTTAGTTAGGATTTCTGTTGTTGTGAAGAGACAGCATGACCACAGCAACTTTTATAAAGGAAAACATTTACTTGGGTGGCTTATAGTCCATATTGTTATGACAGGAAGCAAGGCAGCAGACAGGCAGACATAGTGCTGGAGAAGGAGCTGAGAGTTCTTACTCCTTGACCAGCATTCAGCAGGAAGTGGTCTGAGGCACTGGGTGTGGCTTGAGCACATATGAGACCTCAAAGCCCACCTCCACAGTGACACACTTCCTCTGACAAAGCCATTGCTCTAAATAGTGCCATTCTCTACGAGCTTGTGGGGCTGGTTACATTCAAGCTACCACAATCCCTAGTGCATGACTGTCAGTTGGAGTGACATACGGTGTCTTAGAGCTGACCCTGCCCTTACCTCACTGTGTCACCCAGGCAAGTCACTTCCCTTGTAGCTCCTTAGGGAAATGGACTAAGGGGGCTTTAGGCTCTGACTCTGGCCACAGTTCTTTCTCCTAGTAGCTGACTTGCTCTGTGGCTCCTTTCTCTCTCCCATAGAGAGCCTTGTGTTTTCTTGGCTTTGCCTCATGTTCAGGCCCAGGTCTCACCATCCAGCCTGCAAGCAGCTTGCCACTCAGACCCCAGGCTCCACCTGTTGGTCCCTCAAGTGGTCACAGCTTCTGGCCTAATGAATTGACTTCCTTCTCCTACCCAGAACTGCTTGCTAGCATACACACCTCCATTTTCATCAACAGTGTGTTCACTGATGTTGCCATTGCTTCTGCTAAGTTCCATGTTCCAGAGTGAGTGGGGGAGGGAGTGAGTTGGCCTGGGCCATGCTGAGCTGCCTGCCCTGTCAGCCGCCTCTGCTGGCCTGCCATAGGCTTTTTCACAGGCCCCTCTCCCTGGCGTCTCTTCTCCCTTCTCCTTCAGGATGTTGTCAGCATTCCCTTCAAGACCAAGCTTCTGGGTCACCTCCTTCACTTACTGCGTCCCCTGCTCTGGGCCTGTCACTGCACTAGATGTCCTGGAGTTTGGGTGAACAGGAGGAGAGACAGTAAACTGCTGCGGTGCTGGCTTGTAGTCTGCCTGCAACAAGCAGACATAAAACTAGAAAGACAATTCCCCTGCTAGACAGGTCAGTGGGCAAGCTCGTGGTACATTTTATTGATTGATGATTAATGTGAGAGGGCCCAACCCACTGCGGACAGTCCCACCCCTCGGGTGGCAGTCCTGGCTTCTGTAAGAAAGCAGGCTGAGTAAGCCAGTAAGCACACTCCTCCATGGCCTCTGCTTCATCCCTGCATCCAGGTTCCTGCCCTGTCTTCCTCACTGATGGACTGATCAGGACATGTAAGCTGAAAGAAGTTCTTCCCTCCCAAGTTGCCTTTGATCATGGTGTTTTATCACAGAACTGTAAGACACTGTATTCTGAAACTTCCTAGCCTTCGGGTGATCTGTCCTAATCTTTGACTTCCTTTCCCACACTTTACCTTTGCTGCTAGCCGAGGGTCCTTCTGCAGAGCCCCTTTTCACAGCTGTCAACCTCTGGTAGGAACAACTGATTTGTTTTCTTCCTAATGGACCAGACTCCAGGTCCCAGTAGCTAACAGGTGCTCAGTAAAAACTGTTGGATGAGTAGATGAAATGAGTGCTTGGCATTTTCCATAAATGCTCAGAGATCCTGTAGTACACAGTTTTCTTTACCTTGGTATGCAAATGTTAACACAGAAGAGCCCAGGCCAGAGTCACAGTGCTCAAAGGTTGTTCTAGATAGTAGCAGTTTGGCATCTAGACCTAGTACATGCTGTCAGACATGGATTACCCATGACCTGGGAAACACTGTGTCCAAGGTCTGCACACTGCATTGTATGCTAGCATTGACAAAGTTCCCACAGTTGTGGCATAGCATTTTTCTTCTTGCAGGAGGGTAGCCTGGAGCTATGTGACCAATATTGTTTGTTTATTTGCAACTTGGTTCATAACTTGATTCCCTTGTATCTTGGTTTATTATTGTATGTGCATATGTATATGTCTAATGTGTAGTATATGCATGTCTATGGTATATGTGCATTCACATGCTTGAACATGTGACGTTGAATGTCCTCTATCATACTCTAACTTAATCACTTGAGAAAATTGGTGTCTTGCCAAACTAGACTAGTAGCCAGCAAGCCCTCCTGGTTTCCTGCCCCCACTCTCATGACCCTGGGGTTATAGGCAGTCATAAATGACTATTCCTAGCTTTAACATGGGTTCTAGAGTTTTGAATTCAGATCCTATTGTTAGTGAAGCAAGAACTCTTACCCCCGATCCTTCCCCCTTGGCTCTTGGTTGATATTTTATTTTTCTTTCTTTTTTTTTCAAATGTACTCATGTTGCAGAATGGAATTCACTCTTTGGGTATATAGTCCTGCGGGTTTGCATCAGAGCATAGAATCATGACTACCATATGGTTGTGATAACAGATAATTCCATCACCCCTGTCTGTCTGGTTTTGCCCCCTTTTGTCAGTTCCTGTTTCACCCACAAGCCTAGAAACCCCACATTTGCTTGTGTAAAAACAGAAGCTTTCCCTTTTTGGTTGTTTAGTATATAAAATGCTATATTTGTGATGTGGCTTCTTTCACTTAGCATATGTGTATAATAGTCATAGGTTTTGTGAGCCCATAGTTTGCTCCTTTTGTTCTGTAGATATGCCAGACTGTTTATCCATCCACCAGATGATGTATATTTTGGGTTGCTGACAGTTTTTAGCAGCTGTGAATAAAGCCCCTACAAATGTTCACATACAAGCCACACCTCCTAATAGTGCCACTCCCTTTGGGGGCCTTTTTCTTTCAAACCGCCATAGTTACTCCCGTCATAATCATGCCAACCTTGTACCAGTACACATTCTGTGGTTGCTGTTGTACCTCTCAGGATTCATATTTGGATACTACTGTTGATGGCTTTTCTCCCGTAGCAGTCTGGCTAAGCAGCGTGAAAGACAGACATCAGGGAGGATGCTTCAGCTCAGAGCAGCTTCATTTCTGTGTTCTGTGTCTGAAGTGTGTGATGGTTTTACCATCGTGTTCTCCTGGGCAGCCAAGTTGCTCTTGTCTTAATGCTGCTCTCTTGCATATGTACAGTTTATACCCAGACATTTTTTAGCTCTTTATTTTACTGGTGGCTCTGACAAGGTTTCCCCTCCCTCTCTCTAGGCTCCTAATCGTGAGCTCATGACTTACTGGCTGCAAGAGCTTCAGCAGAAAAGATGGGAATATTGCAACAGCCTCGACATGGTGAAGTGGGACAACAGGCCTTCCCCGACTCCAGGGGATTTTCCTAAGGGCCTTGTAGCCAGAGATAACACAGGTAAGACATGGGTGGAGGGCGCTATGTTTGTTCTTTCAAGGTAGCCATTTGACACAGCAACTCAACTTATCAATGGGTGAAAAATGAATTCAGAATAAAAATAATGGCAATCCCTTATGAATGGACCGCAATCTACAATGCCAGGTGAGGTGCTCCCAGGACAGAGCAATTTTCAAGCTAGCACTGGCCTGGGTGTCAGGCAAGGCTGATGCTGAGCATACCACAGAGATGACAGAGGACAACGCCTGTGTATAACTGAAATCATGACCCACAGCATATGCCTTCCAATCTGTCTCCAAGGCTAACCTGCCTTCTACCATAATTAAAGACAAAGTCTACTCACTTATGTATTCACACGTGGGCCAACTTCCTGACTCGTTGCATTTTTAATGTGCCAGGAAAGTAATAGAATTCCACTGATTATTTTCTAGTATTTCTTAGGAAGCCTTAAAAGTCAAGAACTGATTGTATTTTATTCCAGATTCATGGCACTTTCATAGGTCCTAGTAAGTCCTGGCCTGTAATGTAATTTCTTTACCGCCAATTGCCACAACTGTCTCAGCCCCCAAATAACACACAAGACACTGTATTAATTATGAAGCTGTTGGCTGTTTGCTGTGGTTTCCTATCAGCTAGTTCTGACTTAATTATTAACCCATAATTACTAATATGTATTTTTTATAATAAGGTCTTATCTTACCGAGGACGCAGCCTCATGCATCCTTTCTTCCCAGGATCACATGGAGACTCTCTACCCTTGACTACATTTCCCGGAATCCTCCTCAACTCCTAGTCCCACCTATCTTGCTTCCCTATTGGCCAACAGTGCTTTATTTATCAACCAATAGGACAACATATACACAGAAGGACTTCCCCCATCACTGGCCATTTGCACCTTAGAGAGAATGTGCTTTTGTACTTGAAAAGCAAAACTTAAGTTCCATGATCTTCTCGTGATTGTTGACTGTACTGAGCCCTTAGAAAGAATGGGACAGTTATTTGCAGACCATCATGGAGACCTACCTCTCCCCCTCTAAAGGCTATAGGGTGAGGCTGTTTCTCATGGCTCCCCCATCAGCTTGTTAGAACAAGCTGGAGCTCTTCAACTCTGTAATGAGCTCAAAAATGGCTAAAGTGTGTGTGTGTGTGTGTGTGTGTGTGTGTGTGTGTGTGTGTGTGTGTGTGTGTATGCTATGGTAAGTGTGTGGAGGTCAGAGGACAACTTTTAGGTGTCAGTTCTCTCCTTCTACTATGCGGCTCCTGGGGATGGATCCAGATCATGTTATCAGCCTCAGCAACAAGCTCCTTTACCCACTGAGCTGTCTTGCCAGCTCTGCTAGCATTCTTAGTTAGGTGTTTTGAGATAGGGACTCACTATGTAGCCTTGGTTAGCCTGGAACTCACCGTATTGATCAAGCTGACATTAAACTCATAAATATCTACCTACCTCTGCATCGGGTTCTGTAGTTAAAGGATATGACACCATGCCTGGCCTGTATTAGCCCTACAAAGGAGTGCACATTAAAATTGAAACCAGTACAGGTTTGTTGTAGCACTTCCTCGAAGAGCTGTGGTCAGCACTCCGTAAAGCATGTGGGACCCTCTATTCAGCAGAACAAGGGCAGTGGCATCTGAGTTCTGGGCACAGAGTGGCTGTCTTTTTCTGGAATCACCATCTTAAGACTAGGACTTTCCAGCCTGGCTTTTCCTGGTTGAGTATTTTTCAGCAGAATGTCCATACTAGTCAGTGAGAGGATCCTGCCTGTGTTCGTACCTGTGGATGATTTTCTAGGAGCCTTTGTCATGGGGTCTTAGAACTCTGATTCTCCTCAGCAGAGGGGAAGCCTTTCTGTCAAGGGCATGCCCCTCTGTAGTTTACAAGTGGCTTCCTGATGCCTGAGGCTTAGTTTGGTTCGGTTTAATTTAATTTTATTAATTAATTTTTATTTTCATTGTTTTGAGTCAGGCTCTATAATCTAGGCTAGCCTTGAACTACTTACTCATCCTCCTGTCTCGACCTCCCCACACTGGATTATGTGTTTGCACCACTGTATTGATTTATAGGGTCCTGGTGTCTGGTAGGCAAGCACTCTACCAGCTGAGCTGCATCTTTATCTTTTTATTAGTTTTGTTATTTTTTTTTTGAGACAGGGTCTCATGTAGCCCAGGCTGACTTCAAAATCACTCTGTAGCTAAGGATGGCATTTTTCTCCTAATCCTCCTGCCTCCGCTCCTAGCCCATAGACAGAGATATTCGGAAGCCACCATTAGTGTCTTTTCTATGACAAGAAGCTCTTTATCAGTTTCAGGGTCTCTGGGGACACTGGGAAGAAACTATAGGGGCAGGGGCAGCCTCCATGCTAGTGGCTTACGCCTTTGGCACTGAAGATATTCCCTTTGCCTCCACTCTGGGAACACAGAGCGCTCCTCTCCAGCGAGAACCCGGGTGTGTAGCTGAACGGGGGCAAAAAGGTAGTGCCTAGTCTTGGAGTCCCTCTGTCAAGTCTGCCCTGCCTCCATGAGGACCAGATGGTGAGGTTGGGAAGCAGAGGAGTCGTCTCCAGCTCACATTCAGTTGGTTCCCTTTCTCTGGTTTGGGCATTCCGGGTATGGGAAATGAGAGTTCCTGCCATGCTGTTTGCTGACTCAGCAAGTACCTGAGGTGGCCCCTGTCTCGCCCCTTAAGTCTCCTGTGAAGCAGAGCATTTGTGCAGGGGAAGGTAAGAAGTAGAGGTGAGGGCAGACCAGGCAGCCGGGGCCCGCAGGCCAAGCTCAGCATTGGGCTTGTGGAGCCTCTAAGGACAGGATGGCCAGGGCCCAGCCAGAAAAGAGACAGACCCAAGAGCAAAGAGCTGCAGAAGGGTCCTTCATATTGTTACGGGTCAGTAGGGCTGCAGGGGCCAGCAGAGCCCGGCCTGGAGGCCCACCAGACCTAGAACTCACTGGGAAAGCCTGCTGGAGAGCCTTAAAAATTGAGGTTTTTATCTAAAGAACAGTGAAAATAATATGTATAGAAATAGCTAACTTTAAATGTATTCTAAATTCTAGATAGGGATTACAAGGAAGGACAGATATTGAAACCTTGAACCACTGGGCCATCGTGGAAACCATAACTGTCTAGAAAGAAAACATTCTGTCTAGAGGAGAAAGTCATGAAGACAAGGGGCAGGAAAGATGGCTCGGTGGTTGAGAATGCTTGTTGCCATGTTGCTCTTTCAAGGGACCTCAGCTTGGTTCCCAGCATCCGTGTCAGTTGGCTCACAACTTTCTGTAACCCCAGTTCCAGTCCCTGAGAGCACCTGGACGTACATGGCATATGCACACATGAACATATACACATAAGAAATGTTAAAGAGAACTGCATTTCAGACCTTTTGTTTCATCATCAGAGGGAAAAACTGGTTAAAAGATAAATTTTGTGGATATGCAGCAATATCCTGTAATAGCCTATAGTCATGCTGTGGCAGCCTACCCTAACGTCACTGTGCTAACTCTAACTTGACTGGAAGATGACTGTTGTTGTCTCCTAGACGCCTAGACACCTCCCCTGGTTGAACACTGTGTTTCTTGTCCTGAGTGTCCACCCATCATGACTCTCCAGGCACCTAAGGACAGGGTGCAGAAAGATAGACGGAATTGACACTTTGCACGGAGAGCCAGTGTCTGTCTTGGAAGGCAGTCCTGTCTGGAAGCCTTGTGGACCTGGTCTTAACCCTGATATTTATTGGTCATCAGGCTCTGAGCAGGTCACTTACCCATTACTACAAGAGTGAACAACAACGCTTGTCTTCTCTCCATCACAAGGATAAAAGGGGAAGCACATTGAATAATTCCACCCCTGCAATTACACACAGAGAGGGGGGGCATACACACACACACACACCCCTGATAATGTGATTTTGAATGGGTGAGGATTGGTTTTACTACATTTAATAGGAAACTGGATTAATAAGAACATTATTCCTTTTTCTCACTTATTGGCAATTCAAAGCTAGAGCCCTGACTCCTCAGCTACATCTTGTGATGATATATTATTTATGATTTAATAAAGCTTGCCTGAGGGTTCAGAATTTGAAGGTAGTCACAAGCCTCAGAGACCAGGCAGTGGTTATACACACCTTTAATCCCAGGGCAGACAGAGGCAGCTGGATCTCTGTTAGTTCAAGGCTACACTGAGCTACACAAAATTGGCCCAGTCTAAAAGAGAAACAGCTCACACAAAGGAGATCTCAGAACTTTAACCCCAAGCCTTTAAACCTAGCTCTAGGGAGGTATGGAAGACAGGAGCGGGCATTCAGTATTCAGTCTCAGAGATTTATCCTCCAGGCACATTGAGGAGTATATAGCAGTCTAAGATTGCACTCTGAGGATTAGTGGAGACAGGGTCACCCATTTCCGTCTGTTGTAGAGGTAAGAGCTACTGGCTGGATGTTTTGTTTCTCTGATCTTCAGCCCCAATATCTGTCTCTGGGTTTTCATTATTCATGTTACAACATCTAACTGTTCCATGCTTAGGACTAAGTTCCTCACTCATGCTCACTGTCTCTGGGGTGGCACTCATACCACGGAGGACGCTTTCACAGAGACCTTCTGCTTCTCTTTAGCAGTGACTCTCACGTGGCCATTCCTTATGGCTACATCAAATGGCTAGAGGGAAATGTGGGGAGCCAAGTAGTTTGGCTGAGCGTATGGCCATCAAGACTGCAGACTCTTAAGAGAAGCGGGGATGGACAGTTGGTCGTGAACTGTCACTGTCCTGTAATTGCCTATGTTTATGTGTTTCATGTCTTCTTTGAAATAAGAGACCGTCTGTTACCTGTGTGGATGTTCAGTTTTTTAGTGAGGTGTTAGAGAGGGGGTGATTTTATGCCTCCTATGTGTCTGTCCGTTATCCCCTCCCAGCCTGGCTTCTGTGGTGTGCCTTGGACACCATCGAGAGTGATCTGCTCGATATGGTTGGATAAGGACCTAGCTTCAAATTATTACTTGAGAAAGATAAA